GATTTCTTGTCTGAACTTCGGTATAGTTCGCATGGATAGCTCTTACGGAAAGTACTCAAACGAGGCTGATTCGTCAGGGCAGGCAACATCGACATTACCGGAAGCATTGGGGTTCATGTCCGATGAAATGGGTCACCCAAGGGTCACCGGGCATCCGCCATGGCGATAACGGTCGGAATCCTCAACAAACCTTGATGCATTTATTCTTACACCTTGTAGGTCTTGAAGCGGCAACAACATATCTGCCCCCTTACTGCCTTTGGGCACAGGGACCATTACGCCAGTCTTTCCGATGATCCTGACCTCGATTTGGCGGAGATAGAAAATTCTCACATATTCAAGCGAGCGCCGAGCAGCAGTAAAGTTCAATCTCGATCTCATCTCGATCTCATCTCATCCCATCTCATCATTCCACGGCACGGTACCTTCGATAATGCTAAAGATGTGAGCGGCTAATTTTTTCTGAAATAGTGATGCCTGTTTACCCGTTTTCTAGTCCTACGAATATGCTATGACGACATGGGATATAGTACGGAATTATATCCTTGATCGGCGAAGAGATGGTGTGTGGTGTGGTGTGTGTAGAGAATCGTTCCGACAGTCGATGATGCAAGCAATGGAATTGGTTTTGAACACTATTGCCATTCTGCCTTTAATCGCTTCTTGTTCTCTTTACATCCGACAGACGTGCGCATCTCAGTTTGCCTATATATATTACGAATCCTGATTTGTGTCTTAGGCACCGAACGAATACACGATACAGCTCCATAGGCCCAGCCTCAAACTCGTCTTTACGTTTCCGCCAGTCGGAGGTCGTGAGCATCGCGTCATCTTTAAGGACTACAGCAACTCGGATCCGCCGATCCCTCTGCCCAATCCTGCTTACCTTCGTCTTCACGCTGCGATAGCGGGTATCCTTGACATGGGCGGGGCTGCTGAAGTCATGGATGAGTTTGAAGACAAGCACGGTGAAACCGGCTCTAATTTACTGGCACAGTCAGACTACAAGTTTGAAGACGTTCTGTCTTGGATCGGCTTCGAGAATTCAAGAATGGTTCCAGTTCACTAACGATATGTGTTCCTTGTAATATTCTGGTTACGAATAGAAAGTCTCGTTGGTGGCATTGTCGCGTGATCAGATACCAATACCGCTATCCGTAGTTTGTTCCTTGTTCCTAATGTCGCTTTCCGCAAGTCAGCACAACGCCTTCGCTGACGTCTGAACAGGTAAAGCTAGGACGCCTCTTCTGCATTGCGTTTTTAGGTCGAGCTATCGATCTGAGGAAGCAGAATGCCTGGAAGTTGGTGTCGACCCCAATGCTTCTCATCCGTTCCGCAAGACTATTCCTCACACCACCACCAAGCGCCCCGGTATGTACAACCCCCGTCCCCGGAAATAAAGTTGGAAATTTATCTGCCTGCTACATAGTCTATGCGAACGGGGCTAAGATAAATTCCGATGATGTATACATATTTTAATGGATCTACTAGTCCGTATATAGCGCCGGTCTCTCTGGTTTAGATGGCTGTACATAAGTGCATGAATTAACGTCTCTGAGTTGTATGAAATCACAAAGATCTATCCTCCTCCGCCTCACTTGACGAGTTTATCCCTCTTGACACCGCCCGGACTATAAACGTTGACAGCTCTTCCTGGACAGAAGTCGGTCCACCAGAGTCGAAGAGAGCCTGTTTCCGCAGACGAAGCAGCATCCGAGTCACTGTGATACTCGCAACCGACATACATAGCGGCAGAGTCTGTATGAAAGCAGCATTAGCTAAAGTTAACCTGGTATAATTGAGACGTTACGTCTGTCAAAAATGGCACTATCATGAGGACGGCAATAATACTGGATAGAATTTAGTAATATTGCAAAGACTAAGTCAAAGACAAAGGCGGCTCACATCACAAAGTACAGAATCGAATCTTCGAACATCAGCTGCATGATTGGCCTTATCCTGGGTTGCGATACACCTGCACACGATGACTGAAGTACCCTCGAATTGCGCAAATAATTGATCTCGTGATATGCTACAACAGCGAAAATTGTAACCTCAAAGAACACGTTCGGTAGGCTAAACATGCAATTTCAGCATGAAAATGCGATCTAGGCCATATGATACTCACAAGTAGAAATAGTTTGTACGATCGTGCATGGGCAGAACGGATATCACGACAGATGCACTAATGGTGAGCAAACCAAAGAGGGTCCACAGGACGCGGTGCTGCTTCCCCATAATTACCCAGGCACGAACGACCATTATGATATTCATAACAACGAGCTGTATACCCACTGGATGTAGGAGTGAATTCATAAGAAATAGTGACAATGTAATGAATATAGGCAGACAGATAACACGTACCATATATAATTGACTCGGGGTCAATGAACATATAGCATGCATCTTTCCATGACCTTGCTGTAGTTACCACGCGGTATCAGAAGGTGGGGATCACATACTGAAGGGTCGAAACACGGCGACATCAATTCCGCATCTAAATCCCTAGGTAAGTCATACCGACTCGGCCGGATAAAGCTGACGTACATGTCATGAACCAGCTTAGAAACAAATTAGCGGAATATTCAATGGCCACCAGACTCGGACGAAGCCATCAACTCACGCTGTACTGAAAGACTTCGGAAGTTAAGAATTTAACAGCCGGAAAGTCATGAGCTGTGATACGACGTACTGAACATCTCCCAAATTCGGAGAAAGATCCCAAGGTAGCGATTCTGATATCATAAAATAAACACATTCAATGGCATCGTTATCGTGATATTGGGACTTGCCACAAAGAACAAGAATTTAATCAACGTTCGTCTTGAGGACTGTTTCTGATGCTTCAGAGAGTCGTAATCTTTTTAAGTTTCAAAGAATTGAAACGTGCCCAGAACAAGGCGACCTAGTAAAGGCTCGTCAGTGGCATACGAGACAGGACGGTCAGCGCCAACCTCGTCATCGATGCTTATCAGGTAGTCCCATGTGACCAACGTCCCCGCTATATCTGCATTTCGTGAAGGATTAGTCAAACACAGTGTCACAAGTAACAGACGTACATGCTAAAGCGTCAGATAGGCGAAATTCCATAATGTAGACGCGATGAGACACTCATACAGCCGCTCCGGGTCTTTATATCTTCTCCGATGGGCGCGGGAGTTTCATGACGAAGAATCTGATAGATTAAATCAAAGAAAGATGGATTTGACCGAAAACTTGAAGAAGGATTTTGGGATCGGCCTCAAATCGTCTCCGTTTAGTAGTACTAGGCTAGAGGGAGATATAAGGTGGTCCAGCAGTGTGAAAGGATGTGCGCTATACATATCGTTAACATAGGAGCATCAAGAATAAAGTCACTCACGTTATGAAGTACAGAACCGAGCCTTGAAAGAGCAGCGGAATAACCGGCTTGGGAAGATATCGAAGTATTCTTTGATCCGCTGAGAAAGGCCAACGCATGCCTCCAGGATATTCGATGCCGTGGTGCACTGCAATGATGAAAATGATAGCCTCAAATATCACGGTTGACATACTGAAGAACATAGTCCATGGGTCGCACTACGTGATGTAACACTTACCCTTTACCAAGACTTCTGTACCCCCCAAAAACTATACGGAAAGCAGATTGGATGCAGCCGTGCTGCAGGAAAAAGAATGTCCACAGGATCCGCCGCCGGTCGCCCATTATGGCCCAGACTCGGAAGACATGAATGCCTTCAACACTCCTGACATGCCTGAGTTTCTGCACAAAGGAAATGCGTAGTGGCACTGAAAACATTTCCTTATACAGTTTCCGTCTGGCCAGAAACAGAATTCTCCCCGCCAAAATCTGATTTCCAACAGACAGAAACGCGTCTAAGGAAACGTTTTCAGCTCCGTGAACAATTTCCGTCCAGTTTCCTTCGGGCAGAAATCATTGGGAGTCAGGAGTGCAACGACAAGGAATTGGATTGTCACTAGATGCAGATGTAAAGCCACGGAAACGTTAACGGTGTAACACATGAAATTAGACGGTACGTACCATATATAACTGACTCAGATACAGAACCGAAATAAAAGTTCGCTTGCTCTGACTTGCTGGCTGAAAAAAGCGGTCGAAATGATCATACCAGAAGACTCGTAAAGGAAGTTCATTTACTCGACACTTCTACACGAAGCAGGAGAAAGTGCGGATGAAAATGCGGCCCAGTCGGCATGCTCGAGTCGGGATGACTGCTCCAAGCAAGAGTAGAGACTTCACTTGCAGCAGTGGAAGCAAAAGAATTTGAACTTTGAGGAGTACAAGGCGTTGCGTCGACGTGCAGTAGCAGAAAATTTTATATATAGATGAGGCGTGAAGCATGGAGGAAGCCCAGAGACAGCGATGATGGCGCTTGCTCAATGTCTTCGTTTGGGAGATCAATTCACTGGTGTACAGCCCGGTGTTCTTACGTGGGTTCAGTCCTGGAAATAAAGAAAGAAGAGGAAAAGAAAATGCTTGGGATTCTACAAGACAGGAGGGTCTGCTGCGGTGCGGAAACTGCGGGAAGAAAATGCACAACGTCAAGGTCACTGACAACGATGGCAACGCACCGATCCAGCCGATCGTGGCAAGGATTTGTCATCATTGCAAATCAATGTGTTCCGTAGGAGCAACTTAAGTTCATTGGAGAGAGAAGCGGTGGACATCTTGAGGAGTACAAAGGCAGAAATAACACACTATCCAAGCAACCACTGTGTAGGTTTTCTTACTAGTTCATTTGTTCCCCGGAAAGAAACTGACTGCCCACATCAGAAAACACATTAGTCTTGCAATTTTTGAAAGGTTGCAAGGCCGCGACCAGGGATGTGTCCTGTTCTCACCTCACTAGGTCGTGGTCGCGAGGCGCGAGGCACGACTCGTCGCTTGACACGTACTCGACACTCACGTGTCAAGCGACGAAGTGTTCCTGGTCCTTCCAGGCTTCCACTGTTCGTTAGTAATTGAACAGAAGCAAAAATTTGTACCAACTGTGCCAGGATGGCCAATATAGGGATCGAACCCAAGACCTCCCCATTATTAGCACTACGCTCTAACCAACTGACCTAATCGGCCAATGCAGATGAGTGCAGCAGTATTTTAATACCTGATATGACTCTAAGCGAACGACGGCATAGAATATTAGAATCCCGATTGCGAACCCCGTTTTTTGACCCAGGTTGTCTGTCATGGCAGCTGTCGCCACTCGTGAATTCCTCGCTAGCATTGAAGCTCTCTACCCCAGGCAGGCCCGGGGCGTCGTCAGTCCATGGTCTCTTGTCGCAGCTACAGCCTTTAGTTCCAGTAATCTTCCGGAGGCTGTCCCAGAGGTGTTCAAATACGCTCTTGACGGTGTGAACACACATGACGAACGGCAGTTGCTGGTCAGGAAGTTGAAAGACGCGTTGTTCAAATCGGGGTTGTTGTCTGGATATCCTAAGGCGCGTCCTATGTAGCGTTTCGATCATTGTGACTTATACGCAGTGAATCCGATAGGCTATCAATGCTCTTTCTCAGCTCCATCCTTTCATTCCTAAGGAATTGCGCGATACAAAACCCCTTCGGTACCCGTTATCTCTTGGGCTAAAAACGTGGCTGATTCGCTTGCTCGCGTAGTGATCTATCCTTGCCGACCGAAGCATGGACCAAAATCGGACAAGAATATTTTGATCGTACATACGGAGACACAGCCGCAACGGTACAGCCTTTTCTCAAGGAGCTATATCCTGATTTTGGTAGGCTCTATCCGCATTAAAACGCGAGCAGTCGCGTCTAACATCGATCTGTAGAATTCTTTTCGACGACCTTCGGATATGGGTATACCTACGGCTATTTTGGCGCGCTCTCAGCTGCGGAAACTTCATTCACGATGGTGGCTGCTCTCATAGCAAATGACACCCCACGCCAAGTTGATTGGCATCTCAAGGGGTCATTAAGGAACGGCGCAACCTTGGACGAAGTCAAAGCTGTTCGCCAGATTTCCCTTGATGTCGCTCGTGCCTCAGGTGTGGTGTGGAAGAACGAGATACCCGATATCGAAGCATAGCTGTGAGCTGTGACTCAGATAATGTACATTACGAGACACCGTTGCCTACAGGTCATGAAGTATCTATAGATTACGATCCCGACTCCGAAGATCTTTCTCCGACTGACCTCACCACTCGAAACGACGTCAACTCTATCTCCCAAGATCGCCGTGCGTCCATGTCATTTCTAGCCTGCTTACGTAGTCTAAGAAGCATGCGTGTTATGGCACGGTGCTCTATCGAGATCGTCAGTATGTATATTCAAACACAGCCGACCCCGTACCGTAAACGACATGATAGGCGCGCAACCAAGGACACTGGAGACGTGTCGCAAGGCTTTTGTCAGTCATCAAATAGAGAGGAATGTACATCACAAGGTAGAAGAGACTGTCTTTGAGAATCAAAGCCATGACTGGCTCGGGCCCAAATTTCTGGTGCGCTCGGTTTAGAATCCTATAATTTCTCGTCTCTCTGGTCCCCTGAAATGTGGCTGTAAGAAATATCACGATCTCAAATGCATTAAAGTCGGGACCCTGATAACCTTCGTCATCACATGCTATAGCAGATTTAAACGAGTCGAGCACGTACCAGGTTGGCCCAGGTATATATTCCCAGACGTACTTTGGCAACGGTTCGAAGAGAGCAACTTGAACAGCATGAGCTAGAGGTATTCATAGACCAGGAGGAAACATTTACAGACGACGTCCCAAACGCGGAACATGATCATGTACCGATTCTAAAGCAGATCAGAGACGCATGGACCTCGTGAAAGCGATACGAACTCGCCATGAAAAGCAAGGTTTTAATCCAAGATCTGCTGGAGAACTGTCGGCCCTCATGAGTGTATTATCATCCCGCCCATAAAGTACAAATGCATGCCCAGAACAAGTCAACCTATGACGGCATTGGGGATGAAGGCAGACATCTTTCAAACGAACCAACCTCATCATCAATGGCTATAACGTATTCCCAAAACAGTAGCGTCTTGTTCATATCTGTCCGTTCGTAAGGTAGAAGGAGCCACGGAATAGCTTTCGAACTGACATGGCGCCAGAGAATAAAAGGATGGCATTTACCGAGGTATCCTTCGATGGAAAAGACAAGCGCGAGAATGGATCTGATAGGTATCGATGCCGGCGAGCAGAAGCTCCGGAAGTGATGATAATGCCGCAGCGGCTGCCTGTATATCGGAAGCTAGACGCATTACGTGTGCCTTCAAACAGCATTTTGTTCGTTCGCATTGATGCATCCAGAACGGAAGCTAATGTTCGAATGAAAGCGCGTCTGAGTCTAAGCATATCTGCAAACCAGTCAGTCTCGAACTGGTGCAGAAGGAGGAAACCAACCTAATCGAATCAGGCGGCGATTGCATCTTAACCGACTACTTACAGGAAGAGATGCAACACGAATCTATTACTGTAATCGTACAAAGTCGTTCAAGTCGTAAGGAATGATGTGGGTAAAAATATGCAAGTGTATACGACATAGCGATGATACAACGTAAAAAAAACACTGGGAGGAAGAAGGCGTGGCTGGGAATCCGGATAGTGACCTGGTAATTAAATGAACAGAAATCGTAATAATGCAAACCCTATCCGTAGAAAAAAACCGAATGTGGCCACCAGGACCAAAGTAGAAGAGAGAAGTAGTCGGAGAAGTAGTGCCGATTAAATAATGTACGGGAATAAATATTAGGATATATGTTGGATAGATGGTCGATTCGACATAGACAAGACGGTAATTTTGGTAAGGCGGCACGGAACAGGCACCTAATTTTCTTTCATTTCCTCGTCGATAGCCCCTCTGAGCTCCCCGCGGAAGGGCTGCGGCTGAGCTGCAGAGGTCGGCTGTAGACTCTGCGCAAGCGGTTGCCTGGCATGATCAGGAGGTGATGATCTACGTGAGGGCCACGTAATTTTGGGCTTGTCAGCGGCACAGGACGGTAATTCAGGTAGAGGAGTAGTGGGTGGAGGCAGAGAGGGTGCGGGTGCCTGTGTCCTTCGAATGGGTCTACGGGGTCTGACAGCAAACCACATGTCAGCAACGTCAAAGAAGGAAGAAGATAAGGAAACGTACCGAAGAGAAGTACCAACGCTGCCACTCCTCATTCGCCCGACAAGGCTCGTTCCTTGACTGGAGACGTTGGGCTGAAATTCGTTCTCCACCAAAGTGCCCATCACCGAGCTAAGACTGCCACTCCTGGAACGTGAGGGCGACGCCTGGAGGTGGATCTGGAACTGCAGAGCAGTGCTCGCATTGCGCGAAGGCGACTTGAGAGCATTGATGGACGTTCCGATGCTCAGACTCGACCGACGCTTGCGTAGGCGTGGTCGCAAGACAGAATTAGCGGTGACCATCGTCTCTGGGACTGACATGTGGCCCCGCTCGTCGTCGACCTCGATGTCGCTAGCATCGTCCAGGAGAGGTGAAGAGGGCGAGTCTATAAAGGAGTTGACATTGAGGTTGGCCGTGAATATGTGACGAGGAGCAAGGAGACCAGAAGAAAAGAATGCAGAGTACAATGTCATGGTCGATGTCGAAGGGTAGGAGGACGGCGGGGGCGGTAAAAGTGATGGTTGAAGATGAAGGACAGCACGGTTGCAAATATGAACAGTGCCACTGCCATAACAACACGTACATAATGACAAATATGATTCCGTTTTCGGAAGAACGCCTGCCCGGCTTCGGCTTTCCATGTCCGACTTTCGCAACGTTCACGTCGCACTTTGGTCGGCCTCCCACGTAAATGCCTCAAAAATGCTTGTATAGCCGTAAAAATGTTGCTTCGGTGAACACGTTAATTTCTCAAGTTCATGTTGCGCAGAAAACTTTCATGCCCGTGGCAGTGAGTAACCATATGGAATATAAATGAAACAGGGCGTACCGGTACCCGCCACTGGAGAAATTATCAGCGTGATTATTCTTGCACCGCTTCTCCTTGCCTAAATATTAGGTCCTCAACGACTCAAGCCGAGGCATCTAGGCGAATGGAAAATGGGAAATGGCCAGGCTAAAATATCAGAGCGGCCGTATTGAAAGGCTTAATCGACCAGGGCAACCTCCTTTACGCTTGTTCCTCGTACGACTTTTGTCGGAGGGCTGCGGTTACCACGGCGCGCCGCATCGTGCGCGCCCGTCTAGACTGGCATGAATGAATTCAGAATGCATTCTCTTAGGGGGTACCTGCCCGTCCTTAAAATGGTCCTTCAATTCGCTCTATACTCTTTCTTGATCTCGTCACATACGCTAAGGAAAGCAGTTCCGAGCTTCTGGAAATCCTCGACCTGCCGGAACTTCATTATAAGGGGCATCGTGTAAGGACAAACGAAAAATACCTCATTCCAAATCTGCGCGCTACATCTCGCCCACCACATCCCATTATGATAATAATGGGCGGCGTACACGTTATGTTTGATTAGCAGCTTATTCTTGAACATCAGGTCTAATTCCAACGTCGGGTTCACGTCACCCGAAAGAGGTATGACTACGTTAACCTAGAAGCATGGAAATCAGTAGCGAATCGCGACTCTAGAGGGGGGAGGACCAAAAGTACCATATGCGCAGTAAATTGGCCGTCTTCATCCATTACTTTCGTGTTCAGAACCTTCGCAAGAGCCTTACCCCCCTCAATCGCTAGGTTATGACAATACTCGTCAATCACGCCTTCTCCACCCAGCCACTGGCGGAAATCAAGCGCCGCAGAAATACTGAGGTACGGCGCCCAGTCCACAGTTCCATTCCCTAAGGCAAAATAAGCAAACGACTCAAGGCCGAAACAGAGGAGCCCGACATTCAAATTGCTCCACGAAATTTGGTCCTGTACGATCTTTCGGCGAGATGTACGTAGACGACGTCGGAAAGCTCGACTTGACAATATGCTGGTTCCTATGAGGATGGTCGATCAGTGGATACAAATTAACAGCTGTACGATCGCGTCGCTCACCTCTTAGGAACATACAACACCGCAGCGCCCCTCTTTGCGAACAGCCACTTGTGACAATTCTAGTCCATCGTCAGTCAGAAAGCTCGTCACTGTATATACACAACCTA